ATATTTTTTTTTTTTTTTTTTTTTTAAGGGTGGTCTAAATTATTCAGTGCCACCATTCATCCAGTCTTTGTTGTCCGTACGTTTTCCACTTGAGCTAATGCACAGCTTGCGTGCCGCCAGGCATTTTCAGCACGAACCAGCAGAGCATATGCTTCGTGTTTTGCAAACAACGTCCTGCTGCACACCAAACTCTGACAGCGCCCTTTGGAGCTTTCCAGCAAAATTGCAGTTGCGTGTAGGTACGATTGACAAACGGCCAACCATCTTCTTTAATGTGTGTGCTCATCGGCTGGCCAGCGCTGAGACGCATGCAGGCATTCTGTTGATGGGAGATGGCAGCGCTCGGTATTATTTGTGTGTGAGTGGAGCAAGATGGGACTGAATAAGAGCATGTCTGTTGCCTCTTTGTGTGACCTAAAAGAAAGATTTGTGTATAGTGTACATTTGAACAAAAGAGATGGGTACTATCCCGGTGGGGAATAAGGAGCCACAACAGAAGGACAAATGGCTGGAGAAATGTAGGGATGATGAATTTCCCTGTCTTACTCAGTCTCGGCTCATTCCCGATGAACCTTGAAGGCAGTGAGGTCACAGACGTTGCACGTCAAGGGACTGGCAGACTGGCAGCAATATCCTTGTGTACGCGCTAGCCTTTGAGCAAGCAGAGTGAGAGACAGAGAAGGTCCCGGTCTCACCACTGCCTCTAATTTCTGCAGGTCTCGCTGCCGAGGTTCCAGTCCAGCAAGTCCACCCTGCATGGGCTCAAAGGCACTACGGGTAAGGCTGAGATCAATCGGTATTTCTATTTGTGATGGTAACTTTCTCTTCCTCTGGTCTATTAAACACACGGGATGCTGGGTTCTGGATTTCACTCACGGTTGACTTGGGCGACACGGTTGAGTGAGGCAGCAAGCCACTTAGTTAAACTTCTGTGCACACACACACACACACACACACACACACGCACACAAATGGGCACATGAATGCACGTGCATGCACACACCCACACACAGCTGTTGTGATCCAATCTCACTCTTGCACTCAGGGATTTTTTTGATCTCTAAAACACATCTAACACACTCACTCAATTCTAGAGTTTTTTTTTTAATCCATTTGCGATGAGTGTCAGATTTATTATAATAATAATAATTTTTTAAAATCAGACCTGGGCCTCTTTCATCTGTCGATATAAATCGGGCATATATGCGATGCGTCTGCAATATAAATGCTCATCCTTACACATCAGACCGATACGTCATAAAAAGCCCAGTTTGCACCCCATGCGCGCGAGGGAAAGTGCTTTATAGGGAGACGAGTTTATTGAGTAACAGTCTTGACATTAGATTTGAATTTAATTGAATCCCACTTGGAACATAAAGCACAAAATTGACTTTTGTACTGACAGTAGTGATTCAGGCGGTTCATTTATTACACATGGCACCGCATGACGTCATCTTTAGTCCACATCTCCATGTAATGAGGCGATCGAAAAGCATCGCCTCATTTCCTCCAAACATTTCTACCTCCTGCCGCCTCACTCTTGTTGATATGAGATGCTAAAAACACACACTGGATTATATTTACTTCTGTAAAGGCTGCCACGTGATGTCAGGGGGTTTTGTGTGTGTGTGTGTGTGTGTGTGTGTGTGTCAGTCACTCGACATCATGTTTCGTGTACATGTGTTGCATTCACATTCAAAGTGTTTGTAATGTGAACGAATACAAAAAATATTTTTTTTACAATATAAGGGTATAGTGCAGGGGTGTCAAACATATGGCCCGCGGGCCGGAACCGGCCCGCAAGGAGGTTTGATCACGCCCGCAGGATAATTTAAAAGTGACAAAATGCATAAAAGACACGGAATGAATATTTTTAATAAGGTGCAATTTATGGTGTATCCGCTAGGGGGACACACTGTTTTGATCAGAGTAAAAGACAACATTGTTTTGATCAGAGAAGAAGACAACAGCAGCCTCAGTCTGTCACTGAGACAGACCCAACACAGCAGACGCGATCCAGGACATGTAAATACTTTATTCTTTACAGGTGTAGGCAGGGATTACATTTAGATTTTATATGCTAAGGAGTTTCATGAAATGTTTTGTAAATGATCTGTTTATTAAATTTCAACATTTTCCTAATGTTCTTGTGCTTCTTTAGACCAAAACAAAGGAAAGACATTATTTTGGTTATTTATAGCAGAGTATTTTAAAGGTCCGGTCCAGCGGTCCAGTGTACATCTACCGAGGCCGTATGTGGCCCACAATGTGAAATGTGTTTGACACCCCTGGTATAGTGAGTGCGGTACTGTATATGTAGTTTGTATGCTCAACAGTCGAGCCGCAATATGTCTGCAAACAGGCTAGCAGGATGCCGGCTGATGTTTTTGTACTTTGTACTGACCCAATATGATTGCGGTATGTAAATCACTCTTGTATTGGCGCACAGCTCTGTCTCATAGCTCCTCTCACAAGCACAGTGAATTCTAGAATGTTTGACTATCTCGAAGTTGGTTTATCTGTTGCTGTTGCTCTGAGGAAGGTGAGTGAACACCTCACACATGGAGTGAGATTAGGCCCCAGTTATCTTTCCCACCGCAAGTTGGCGCAAAATGCAATCTATCTGTGCGCATGGCTGGACTTTTCTTTCTTTTGGTGTTTTCGTAGACGAGCGCAGTCAGAAATGGGCCACGTCGGTTGAGCGTTCGGGCTCGGTGTCTAGCGGCTTTTAGGCTGAACCATGACTGTGTGACAGAAGTTCAGCGTCCACACCCCAAAGAGAACAGTTATGACTTAGTGAAACTAGAAAGATGAGTCATTGCCAGAGATGCTGCGAGACCAGTGCAAGTGGCGTCTTGCTTTGAAAGCTAAAAACTGATGAGTCCAACGACATGATGATTTGCCTTTGCTTCATGTTGCTCTGGTGTTGACACGATTTACTGGTGTCACAACTTTCTTTCTATGTACCACTGTAAAATCATTTTATTTTCTAACATACATGCCGATTTTTGTGTGATGCCCCGTTTCTCGATGCCAAGCTCTCATCCCGGGCCCCCCCCCCCCAAAAAAAAGTCAATTAAAAACCTCAATTGCTCCAAGTGCTATTAATATTGCAGCCCTCAATTTCTGAAAGAGTGATGAGGGAGCTGACACTGACCCAGATGAATCCATGAATGGGGGAGGATGGATTGATTAAAAGTCTCCCACAGCGAAGAAGGACATTCCCTTCAAAGAGCGAGTCGCACTTTTTCTAAATCTCAGTTGCAGCTTTGACACCTCACACTGAAACAAAGAGGAAAGTATCCGCACACACACACACACCCAAAACGGCAGAACACTCACTCGTACACAAACTGGGGCTGGGTCTTTGTTTTTAGTGTGCAATTTGAAAATTGCACGTGTGTGTCTATGAAGGCGTGGAAGGACGCAGTCTGCGAATTGTCTTTCTCGCATTTGGAAACCACGTGCAGTCGAGTCGCGCTGAAAGCGATATCATGTGCGTGAAATATTTTCTTCGTCCGAGGGGTGCATAACAGAAAATAATTGAGATGCACTGTTTGAAACTGCGTGCGTTGCTACTCCTCGTCCGCCTTTATGATTGCGCTGCTTGTTCTAAGTGTGGCTTATTTGCCGCCACAAAGGTGAGAATGTGTTACTGTTGGAAGAGAGGCTCTGCACCACGCAACTCACAGCTGCTTCATGTGTATTGGGACATTTTCTCAATCTGAAGCCCATCGTCAAAATGCAAATTCATTTGCATGTTGATAGCACGGCAGAGTGTCCAAGTCGAACGCTGCCCCTTCTGTCCCTCCCCCAAGCTCTGAGTGTACGTTTGTCGAAGGAGGAGGATGAGGGGTGTTTGTGTGTCTGCGTCGAGTGTGTTTGCCTCTGCCTGACTCACTCTCCTCACATCCCTCATCTGAACTATTAAAAGCGCGACTGTCTTAAGGCATGAAGGATATATGATGGCTGATCCTTCACCTCTGACTGTCTCCCTCCTCTCCTCCTGCTCATTTCTCACCCGAGGCGTCCCGATGGTCGTTCTCCCCCCCCCCTCGCTCCCGTTTTTAATTCACTTCATCCCACGCCTCTCTTCTATCGTGCTTTTTGACAAGGGGGGTGTGAGTACAGAGGAGGCTGACTGCGAGGGAGTAAACCTACGACGAGCCGAGGCTGAGTGCCGTCTGTGGAGGTTATTCTGCTCTCGTGGGTCTGTTAGCGGACATCCATGCAGCTGTGCCAATTAGCCTGAGCCCTCCACACGCACGCACACACACACACACACACACGATCACAATACAAGTGCACTCTGTTCTTCACATAGTCTTCAAAGCTCAGCTCTGCGTGTGATTTAGACGTCCTTGATCTTGGATGTGCATTAACAAAAAAAAAAATACAAATACTGTATGTATAATGTGCCTTTGACAGCCAGAAACGTCGCCCGGGTCAGGGAGAGGCAAGGCGCAGCGCTCTCTCGTACGATGCGGCTGTCACATTGGATCAGTCGGGCGGCTGCACGGGGCCGCGAGAATGACACTGCACTTCTGCTCCGGGAGAGTCGTTGCACGAGCAAGGAGATGAGTGGCCAGGGGCTTGGGGGAGGCGTCCTTCACTACACTTGTTTGGAATTTCTGTTGACTTTTGTTATGTATCTGCAAGTTGGAACGTTGTACGTGTACTTTCCATTTAGCTTTATGCTTACGTAACTGAAGGTCAGGCGGCGGACGGACAAAGATGATGCCGAAGAAGAAGCACGGGGTACCGTGGGTAAGGTAGGCCCCAGGCAGCACTTTGCTCAGACACGGAGGTGTGCAGTGCAAGTGGCCACACCATCCAGAAGCAGAGCAACCCCAGAGGTCCAATACTCTCTCACGTCTTTCTCGCTCAACACCTCCTGACACCAACAGCAGCCTTTAGCCCAAAATGACCTCAAGGTGCTATTACTGGTGGTGGGACCCAAGTTGGCCATTTCTGCCTGGTGGCGTTTAACTATATTCAACAAGCACAGAAAGGCAACACTACAAACGTATGAGGGCCTTTTCCATTTGAGATAAAAGCAGCATTTGTTGTGTGATGTTTAACATAACATATTAAGCGAAAATAAGATAAAAGAAGCTTCTTGGTCTGCCTGCTGTCATGTCGGCATTCTTTTTAGAATAATAGAACAAGATGGCGGCGCAAGTGGACACAGCGACCCGTCGCTCTTCGGTTCGCAGCGGATTTTGCCATTCTCCTGAGTGGAATAGCCATAGTGCATCTGCAGGACAGCACCAAGCACCGCTATAGGCTAACAACATTGATACATTTGGCGACAGCAACTGCGACTTCAATCGGCCGGATTTCCGCAGATCAGCTGACCTTGCCTTCATCAACAAACTTAAGCCGCTAACCACGATACCACTGTGCCCCTGGATTTGATATTGTATTTCTTATATTCTGTCACTGGCAAAGTATTTTTGAAAAGTGGAAATGTGAACAGTTGGAATGCTGTGGCAGCCAGGATATGTGTGTGTGTGTGTGTGTGCGTGCGTGTGCGTGTGCGTGTGTGTGTGTGTGTGTGTGTGTGTGTGTGTGTGTGTGTGTGTGTGTGTGTGTGTGTGTGATTAAATCATTAACCTGATGCTAACCTTTGCGGTGAAGAATTGAGGAGTGCTTCTGCTTACCGCTAAACACACTCCACCTGGCATCAAGTGTGCAGTTTGGACCACTAGCTTGTATACGCAACACACACACGCACACACACACATTGTTGCAGAGACTTTTCACAGAATAATAAAATTCTGATGATGCTGATGATGCTTCTACTCGGCTTCTTCTGCTGTTACCACATGGACGTAAGTGATTCAATTTAGGTTAAATGGGAAGCCTCAGGCAAGGACACCATTCAGTTCAGGGTTTTTGCTATCAGTAGTGTAGCTTGACATGCTGACAGTGGGAAGAAAAACTCCTTTGTATTAGAAATACATTTCTGACTGTGTGTGTGTGTGTGTGTGTGTGTGTGTGTGTGTGTGTGTTTCCTTTTTATCTCTCAATGAGAAGTAACAGCTTCAGAGAACATACAATGTGACATTTGCAGAACAAGAATGAAGACCTATTGAGCTACTATGCAACTTCATCAACATCACATATCAAATGAATACGTAAAAGCGGCCATATGATTCTATTTTAAGCTTTCCACATGAGTTAACGATAAGAATAGATCGTTTGGCACAATGGCGATCTAATTCCTCATGAAATATGATTTCTTTTGGTGGCTATTTTTGAAACCCGGAAGTAAGAAGCCTGGTTCACCAAAACTCCGCCTCCCTCATGTGGCTACTGGGCCCCTTTCATGACATCATCCTAAAGCTGGCTGCTATGCACACCGTCTATAAAACAGTATTGAACATTGAACAGTTGCGATCACCAGGCAGAGCAGTGCCCCTTTTGGTCAAAGATTTCGTCATCCAAGCCTCCCACTGAACTATGCAAATGACTGATCTGAATATTCAATATGAGGGCGTACTCGGACCGTTTCATTGGTCCAACGTGATATCCATCCATCCATTTTCTCATCTGCTTTATCCTCACAAGGGTCGCGGGGCATGCTGGAGCCTATCCCAGCTGTCTTCGGGCAGTAGGCGGTGGACACTGCAAACTGGTTGCCGGCCAATCGCAGCCATTGTGAAGTGTTCGGTAGTTTCATTGGTCAGATGTGTCGAGGCTATCTGTAAATCTATTGACAGTATGACGCTCGTCTGTAGAAATTTACAGAACAATTGTGTCACATTTTAAGCCACACACGATGAGAAAATATATGCTCAGTTGAACTCTGTGTTGACCCCACACTGAAAGATTTGCGATTGTCGCCAAGAGGTTCATTTTTTTTTTACATTTATTGGCGCCGACTGTTTTTCAAGCAGATCAGGGAGGAAAAATGACTCTTAATTAACACACCCCACACCACAGGGTCATCACTGCTGATAATTTTGAATTTTGTTTTTCCCAATTCACTTGGAAATGGACCTTTTGTCTCTATGTTTGAAATGAACCATCATCCAACCTGTGTCCCTTTCTGTCCCACTAGGTTGGCTCATCCTTACATCTACCCACCTGCGTTCCTGCAGCCCAGCCTGCTACTGCAGTCCAGCATCGTCCATCCATGCTTCGCTCCCTCGGGATTGGAGCACTCCCCCTACAGCCCGTCACCACTGCCCTACCTCAGCTACAGCTTCTCGCCCGGAATGCCAGCGCACGCTCTGGTCACATCCCAGACTCTGCCCACCGCCACCCATTCGCCTCTGGCCATGTTCTCCGCATTGCCCGCCGCACCACAGGTCACCATGCCGAACCTTGTGCACCAGCACCACCGCGCTCAGTGAGCATACATGACCATCAATCAGTTCCTTGTGGCATCATGATCATCAAAAAGGGCTTATGGAAAGCACTCCTGACTTTTTGTATGTCGGTTATAATAGTTCAGAAAAACGTTCTTGCTACAGTTTCTTCATGCAGTCTGAATACTCTCGAAGTCAAAGACTGGAATAAATGGGCCCTGAGGCTGGCCACCAGACCACTGTTTGGAGAACACATAAGTAGGGAGCACAATGAAAATTGTTTGAAATTATGCCGCAGCAGTCTTTATTTATTTTTTTTTTTTAACCTCTTCAAAGTTACCTGTCTGGGCGGCCTCATCAAAATCTCTCTGTCCTCCTACACCCCATTTGAACATTTCATTGTCTTAATCCAAGCTGTGCATCTTGATAGAATTCCCTGCCTTCTCATTTCTTATTCTCAGTAAGGTTGGGCATGCCAACACCGGACAGGGGCGATCTTTGAGATTGTTACAGTTGGAGCAAGAGAGTTGTTGCTCTTAAGTTCCAAAGCCGTCGCTACATGTGTGCATGTTGCAGTTCGATCGTGAAAAAGTTACATTGTGAAAGGAGAGCAGAGCAATGCAATACATGTGAGTGTCAGGTCAGAGCTTATCTGCAGTTCATTGTCCAAATCAGAGTTGTTTCTTTGTTTGTGTGTGTGTGTGTGTGTGTGTGTGTGTGTGTGTTTTTATCTTATTTTTGCAGGCTGTAAAATCAGATTCATGCTTGAGGAAAGCTGGATGGCATCCCTTGTTTATATGGAACCACCTTTGTTCTTAAAAAAAAAAAAGCCATATGTAACTTTTATGAAGAATATGCAAAATAAAAGCAATGTTTACTATTAAGGCGTCAGTGCTGTTTGTTCTTGGTGTAAGTTATTGAGGTCAGTATCAGCGTGAAATGAAGGTTGCATGATGTCGAGCCTGAGGAAGCATACATGAGTCACTGAAGAGATTTCTTTGAGAGAAATGCACTTACAGATTCAAGTGCGTGGAGGTAAAGGTCAGATTCTAAAGCAGGTGGAACAAATGTTGAAAGAAAACACTGAAAGAGGAAAACATCAGGCATACAATCAGCTGCAAGACCATTTTTCAGAAAAAAAATCCAATAACTTTTAAACTTCTGACTCCTACGAATGATGTGGGTTTTTTTCTTTTATTTGAAATGTACAGTTGGTTGGCCATCATCACAATAGATAAATTGCACGTGTACCACACAGAAGTAAAATTTCGGAATCTCCTTTCTGTTGTGGGGTTTGCATGTTCTCCACATGCTTGTGTAGGTTTTCTCCAGGCACTCCACCCATATTTGAAATACAGGCATTTAAGGTTCACCGAAGACTTGAAATTGGCAATTACAGTGTGATCAGTAGTTTGAATGTGCCATGTAATTGACTGGCTACCAGTGGTGGTTCTAGACCAATTTCACCGGGGGAACTGGACTGGGGCCAGGGGTTTTCTCTGAGAGGAACAGTTTCAAATACACACAAAAATGCACGCATACTCACATCTACACAAACAGACTTCCACACACACCCGACATTATTGTCTAAATAGTCTCTCTCTAATTCTTCATTTAGGGAATTTATTAATGGATCTTTTTTTATGCAATGCCAATCTATGTCTTTATAGGATATATCAAGTCAGCATGTGCTACACTCATGGGAATGATGTAAACCTTACCAAGGCATCGCTTAGTATTTACGAAGTGTGGTGGGCCAGGTGGGGGGAGGAGGAGCAAGAGGAGCTGGGGGGGGGGGTGTATTCACAGAGTAAGGGGGCACTGGACTTCCCCCAAGATCCCAGCACTGGAGATATCCTGCCTGTCGCACAAAGTCACTTGGGGGCTCCAGCTATAGGCTATAATGAGGATGGACAATGGCTGGATCTGTAAATTTAACCAAAAAAAAGGGAATTTGTTTTGTTGTCTGCAGTTTATTTGCAATATAATCCTCTACGAGTGTGTGGAATGGCCATCATCCGCCATTTTTATGTCAAACCATTGAAGTGGGAAATGTCCCAATGCGAGGTGATTACGTCAGCATTAATAATGTCACATTTTTTCACAGGAATGTTAATCACACACTCAGTTTTGAAATGAATAAATATTATTATTATATTATTGTGCTCACGTTTAAATATTCTTGATAAAGATGAGAAATAGGGATCCGTGTAAAAAAATAAATAAATAAATAAATAAGTGCAGTTGGTTTGTATCATGATATCACCTGCGTCCAAAGGCAGCCTCTGAAGATGCAATCGTGCAGATTTTGTTACACTAACTCCCAATGAATCTTTGACAGTATTCCATAGTATTGTTAAAGAATCGAGATATTCATGGGCGGCCCGGTGGTCAACTGGTTAGCGCATCCGCCTCCCAGAGCAGAGGTGCAAGGTTTGATTCCAGCTTCGGCCTTCCTGTGTGAAGTTTGCATATTCTTCCCGTGCCAGTGTGGGTCTTCTCTCGGTTCTCCGGTTTCCTCCCACATTCCCAAAACATGTGTACCAGGTTAATAGAAGACTCTAAATTGTCCCTAGGTGTGAGTGTGAGCATGGATGGTTGTTCGTCTGTGTGTGCCCTGCAATTGGCTGGCAACCAGTTCAAGGTGTACCCTGCCTATACTGCCTGAAGACAGCTGGGATAGTTTCCAGCAGCACCCTTGTGAGGAAAAGCGGATCTGAAAATGGATGGATGCATATTCCCTTTTGCCCTCTTCTGGCCAAAGGTACGTAATGCAGCAAACTTATTATTTATTTAAAAGAGGGCGTGGGCAGGAGAGGGTGAAAAAAGATCATATAATATGTGCATATTTATTATAAGTGAAAGTTTATTGAAACACGTTTGTAATCCCAGTTAGGATCAAATAATAACAAAAGACTCAATGTAAAGCTAGCACTGTTGGTCTGTAGTGAACAGAGCCATCCAATTCTTCCAATTCTCAGATTGTACATTTTCTTTCGTGCTGGTTGAACTGTTGAAATGCAAATGGATGTGTGTTTCTGTAAAAATGGAAATCATCACAAATATCACATTGTGAGGAAGCCATGTGTCATGTCTTAAAAAGGGCTTACAAAAATGAATAGTGAGTGGTACAAAATCAGTCGAGCTGCAATGATAATGAGGAAAAAAAAAGAGGTACTGTATCGGCAATCTTCATCTCTCACTCGCTAGCACACACGCACACACACGCGTGGACACGCACACTTGCAAAGACACTCGCATGTACAAGCGGGCGCACGCACACATTCACCCTCACACACATAAATAAAATGTAGTCATCTGTAAAATGTAAAATCATGTTGAAATGTAATCATACATCACCGTCTTGTGTCTGAAGGGCAGAAAACAAAAGAAAGCGGGAGGGGGGAAAAACTACACTGGAGATTATGTGAGAAGCATGTAGGAAACCACGCTCATCTTCAATGGTCTAAATTGGAAAGAAGCACAAACCCAGAGTGTTGCCCACCCACACCCTGCGCCCCTCTGCTGCACCACCACCCGAGCTGTGATCGTTCATCCTACATCCTAGCTCCTACCTCGAGCCTGCCCCCCCTCTCTCCGTCCCTCCCCTCCCAAAATAACAACATCCTCCCAGTTCGCACGCTCCTGTCCATCACAGAAGCCGGCCTGCCATTTACCACAAACACAAAGTCTACTTCTGAAAACGGAGGAAGGAGTTGGAAGGGGAGACCTGACTGTCGTGTTGTTAGTTTTCAGGTCGGTTGATGAGCAGCGGAGGAGGGGCCTTCTCCCCCCATTTCTCAGCCCCAGGTGGATCAACAGGTGCCGGGGGAGGGGTCGGGTTTACAAGGCTTGCGTCTTGAGCTCGATGGGCTCCCCGCGGGTGTCCTGCTGGGTCTCCCTCTCCGGGGGTCGACTGCCCTTCAACGTGGCCAGGCGCTCGGACAGACCCCTCATACGTGGGAACAGAATGAAATCGTACAGGAGGGCACCCATGGCTCCACCGAGGATGGGTCCCACCCAGTAGACCTGCAATAACATGCATGAGCATGAATTAGAACGTGCCAAGCGCCACAGTCAAGGTGGAAGCAGTGATGTTACCCAGTGGTTGACGAAGTTTCTGAACAGGACCGCCGGAGCAAAGGACCTGGCAGGGTTCATGCCGGCACCCGTGTAGTACATCTGAAAGGCAAAGCACCTCGGCTGTCACATTTGCACGAGTTCCCCGTTTCCACGTGTCTCACCCCCATGAGATGTCCGATGGTGATGGAGAAGCCGATCGAGAGGGCGGCGGAACCCAGGCGACCGTTTCTTCTCTCATCGGTCACAGCGAAAATGCACACCACGAGCTGCATGGTAAGGAACACCTCTACAGTGGTGGCCATCCCCAGACTGACGCCAGGTTGCAGCTGCGGACACGAGAATTTTTGATTTTATTTTTCTTCGTAGTCTACCCGCCCTTCAAATGCAATTTGTCTACCGAAACGTCCTTGTGGTATCTTACCGTGTTCAGTGAGAGGTTGCCCCTCATGTTGCCAGGCGTCACCCCGTACAGCACGGCAGCGCCGGCCACGGCACCGAGGCACTGAGCAATAATGTAGAAAAAAGCACGGAAAAGAGACAGCTGGGCCCCAACCAGGTAGGCGAAGGTAACGGCAGGGTTAATATGACCGCCGCTAATGTGGCCAATAGATTGGATGAGGGTGGCAGCTGCCAAGCCAAAGCACAAGGCCACATGTAGAATGTGATGCGGCCCGGTGGTCCAGCGCAGGGCGGCTCCCAGACCGAAAAATACAAAGAACATGGTCCCGAAGAACTCTGCGAAGACTGCCCGCCAAAAACTCATGGACCGGAACTCCCACATGGTCACTCTTTAGCAGAAGAAGACAACTCTTGGGCCGCAATCAAACCAAGGTTCAAACTTTACAGTCCTCTGAAAGTCAGCTCTGAGCAGAATTGAGAAAATCCACCGGTGGAATCTTCACCAAGTTGGGTGACCTCGCTGTGCTCGTTTGCCACCTGCGTCCACCTGTTTCACAGACATAGGTGTCAGTGGAGTGGGAGTGTGGGTCATCAAATCTCAGGTGGGATCAGGAAAAGGTGGGCATCAAACTCGAAAGATGCGTTGAGAGAGACCGACCGGTACTTTGTCCAGTAAACCTTGAGCCTCTCTGACAGAGCAGACGGGGTCAGACAGGGGCTTTATAATACACCCTCCGGGGGGCCCCAAATGACGCCATAATCCCTCCTGTAGGGCCGAGGGAGGGAGGGAGGGGAGAAGCATCCATGGACATCCCAAATCAAACCAATGTAACCTTTCTGCTGCCCACCACCACCTGTACACATCGCGGTCAAAAGAGGCGCGTTGAAAGCAATTGGATTAGATTGAGCGCAAACACTTTACCTGAAGTCGGAAGAGAGGCAAAATGAAAAGTGCTTCTTTCATTCTAAGGTGCAGAAACACAACAAGGAACAACCTGAGTGGAGAGCAGCTGGAGCCCTGAGGTAGAAGGCGTCTTTTGGAGGACGGGGGGCATATGTCATCTGTTGGCATATCATAACTGTGACAATCCCGCGACACAAACGCTGACGGACACTCGCGCACATACACACACACACACACACACACACACACACACACACACACACACACACACACACACACAAACACACACACACACCAACCCACCCAC